TTTAACTTTGGCAGTTTGTATATATAGAGAAATCTGTCCATTTTGCATGTTTTCCTTTTTATTATAATACAGGTTCTCAAAGTAGGTATTGATAATCCTCTGGATTTCTGCTGGATCTGTTGTGACTTCACCTTTTTTATTCTAAATTTTTATTTGTAATTGAGCCTTTTCTTTCTTTTTTGATAAGGTTGGCTAAAGTTTTATCGATTTTATTTCTTCTTCTGAAAAAACAACTCTTTCTTTCATTGATTTTTTTGAATCATTTTCTTGGTCTCCATTGTAGTGATTTCTGCTTTGATCTTAGAACTTTCTCCCTTGCACAAGTTTGTATTCATCTTACTCTGCTGTTTCTAGGAGCTTAAGATTGAGTATTAGATTGTTTATTTGCATTTCCTCTTTTTTCTACTGTGGGCATTCAGTGCTATGAATTTCCCTCATAGAACTGCTTTCATTTTTTTTTTTTTTTTGGTACCTTCGATCAAATTCAGGTCCTTGTGCTTGTGTAGCATGCAGTGAAACCATTGAGCTAAATCCTCAGCCCAGAATTCCTATCATTTTGGCCCACAGACTTCTGTATGTTGTATTGGGATTATCATTTATTTGTAAAAACTATGTATTTTATTCTTTAATTGCCTTTGTGACCCATTGGTTGTTCTGGAGAGTGTACTTCAATTGTCATGTGTTTGTGAATTTCTTGTGGATTCTTGTGGTATTGGTCTCCAGTTTAATTTCACAATGGTCTGATAATATGCATGGGATAACTTCAATTCCTTTGCATTTACTTAAACATGTACTATGAACTAGTATGTGGTCTACTTTGGAGAATGACCTGTGTGCTGGTGAAAAGAATGCATATTCTGATTTTGAGGGCAGAACACTCTGTAGATGTCTTTTAAGTCTATTTGTTCAAAAGCTTGGTTCAGTTCTAGAATTTCGTTGTTGAATTTTGTCTAGATTATCTATCTATTTGTGACATTAGTGTATTGAGTTCTCCCACTAAATTTTATTAGGGATTATTTGGTTTTTCATATCCCTTAATATTTGTTTTATATAATTGGGGGCATTAGAGTTTGGTGCATACATATTTATGATTGTTGTCTCTTCCTCTTGAATTGTTCCCTTTACAAGGATGTAGTGACCATCTTTGTCACTCTTAATTAGTTTTGGTTTGAAATTTACTTTGTCTCTGGTAAGATAGCTACCTCTGCTTTCTTTTTTTTCCAGGTTCCTATTCTATGGAGAACAGTTTGCCATCATTTTACTTTCTGTCTATGAGTTTCTTCTTGAACTAGGTGTGTTTCTTGTATACAGCATATTTTTGGATTTTGCTTCTTAAACCATTCCACCAGTCTGATTCTTTTGATTGGTGACATGAGGCCACCAACATTGATGGCTATAACTGATATGTATTGACTTATCATTGTCATGTTATTTTTCTGTTGTTGTTCTTTTTTGTTTTCCACCCTCACCCTGTGATTTCCTGCCTTGCCTGAAGGATTTGCTCTGTTGGGCCTCATGGAGTTGTGACCTTCATTGTCTTTTTCTAGTATAATTTTTTGGAGTGCTGGTTTGCTATTCATGAAGTTTCTCAGATATCCTTGTCATGGAATTATCTTATTCTTCCATCAATTTTAAAAGATAGTTTTTCAGGATACATAAGTCTTGGTTGGAGGTTGTTTACTTTTAGGGCTTGAAATACCTCAGTCTAGGCTCTCCTTGATTTATGGGTTTGTTTTGAAAAGTCTGTTGTGATTCTACTGGGCTTTCCTTTGCATGTGATTTGTTTGTTTGCTTAACTGCTTGTGCTATTTTGTTCTTCTGTTGGGTTTCTGGGATCTTGATCATTATGTGTCTATGTGTAGGGTTTTTTTTTTATCATGGCTCATTGGAATCCTCTGTGCTGCATTTATCTGTATGTCAAATTGTTTGGTCATTTGGGGAAGTTTTCTGTCATTAATTCTGTGAACAATATTATTTATGTAATTTGTACTTTCTCCTGCTTTTACCTGGAATTCTTTCAGTTTTATATTATTCTTCATTGCATCACCTAGGAGCTGTTGGATTGATTTCTCAGGGTCCCTTACTAGTTTTAAGAGATCTCCCTTTTCATGGTCACTGACCACCATCCTGTCTTCTATATCTGATATTCTGTTTTCAGATTGGCTCAGTGTGCTGTGAATATTTTCAATAAAGTTTTTAATCTCCTGGATATTTGTTTGAATCTGTTTCATGGATTTCATTTCTTTCCTATGTTGGTCATTCATGTTTTCCATTTCTTTTGTATTTTGGATATTCATGGATTCCATCATGGTCCTGAACTCATCTATATTTTTTATCTCTCTATATTCTAGAGTCTCTGTTCATGTATTTCACTTTGCCCACCATCTCTCTATTTATATGGGATATTATTTCTGATATGAATTTTTCCAGAGCCTCATTCATCTGTTTCATTACTTCCTGTGCTATCAATTCAAGGTGAATAGGTGGTTGATTATCAGACTTTTCCACCACGTTTCCCCCCAGAATATGCCTTTGCTTAGCTGGAAGTGTGGGTTTGTGCCTTGCTGAAATATCTTGTCATTCTTAATTTTGTTGTTGTACTGTCCTTGTTTTAATTCCTGTGTTGATACTTCAATATTGCTTATTGTAAGTACCTTTGTTGCTGGAATTTAGAACCTTTATGGCATGATTGCTTCTCAGAGGTGTCTTTCAGATATAGCCAGCTGTTAGGCTTTGAGTCTCTAATAACTCTGAGGCAATCATATTTTCATTATACCAAGAAGGAAAAATGATTAGATCAATCACATTACCTTAGCCCAAGTGATACAGTTAGCAACAAGATAGCATCAAACACTGGTTAGAAAATGACAAATTGTGGTAGTTATTAATCTATCACTTTTAACCATGTGAATTAAGTAAAAATTGAGGACCAGCCCAAAATATATTTCTAGTGAATAAACACTTCAATGTTCCGAATTTACCCTTAGAAAGAGTTGGGGAGGGAGAGGTAAATGTGTAGAAGTATAGGGAAATATTAGCAGTGAGGCCAGATAACAAAGGAAAATCATGCAAACACTAGAAAACTGTTGAGGACAAGAGGAAAAGATGGAATGAAAGAACAAAGACAAGAACAGAGCAACTTAAACAATAGGAAGTCTATAGCAGATCTAAGTCAATTAGGCTCAGGAAACCAGCAGCAGAACCTTGAGATTCAGGCTGATTTTTGGCTCTGTGTCCCAAGTTGAGCTCCCTGACCTCCTTCAGGGTTGACCTCTGCAAGGATCTACTGCAGATTCCAGCTGCTCTTACCCTGAAAATAGTCCAGGTTTCGATGGGAGGTGGTGATCCCTCTGAATTACTAACCAAAGTGGTCTGGAGTGCCTTCATTGCAGATTCCCTTCACTTTTCTAGTAGGCTTTAATTTTTATCAAGGAGCTTGAGAGAGGAACTCTTCCTGTTTCTCACTTCTGCTCTATCTTCTGGAGCTCAGGACAATGGCCTTTAGAACCCCCTGTGTTTCTGTTGTGTTGGTCCAGGTACCAGGGTTGCCAGGAGGCCAAAGTCCAGCAGGTTTGGTGTTGGGGTGCTGCTGCAGGCTACTCACTCAGAGGCTGGGGTAGGGATGGGGTGGCAGCCCAGCTGCACACAGCTCAGCTCCTCACCCATCCACTCTGTGCTTGGAGGCTGGGCTAGTAATTTCTTGATAAAGCAAAAACTAGAAGACATTGTACTTGCAATGTTTGTTTCTATTATTAACATTAGAAATGTCATTCTGAGTTTGAATCATGTGTCCATTTTATAAAATATGAATCAAATCCCAGGCAGAACATGTAGCAATCTTAATATCAAGGTGCAGTACATGGTTATATTAAATATTCACCTTCTTATAATGGTTATGGAATAAATTGGTTAAAGGTCTAAAAGATCAGAGATTTTGTAAAGATTAAACTGATAAAACTTTATGCACATATATATTTGGCAACATAGGTTCATGTATTATAATGTCTTACTTTATTCAAATACCCATATAAAAAGTCAATTGATTATACTTTTATTCACAACAAATATTATTTATAAATGAAATACAGTTGCCAGTATACTTAGTATTGAGAGTTGTGGAGAGACATTACAATTCCTAAAGATTTTCTCACATGCAAGCAAAGGTCTGCATATAAATGCAAAGTAGGTGTGTTATGGAAGTGATGAGTAACACAAAACTGAACTGCATGGGCTACAGCAAAACCTTAAATGAAATATCCCATTGAGCCAGGACTTTTTGGGATGATCCTCATAATTTACATGTGCACTGCTTCTGAGCAGTGTTGTCTTAAGTAATTGTGGGAGTAAATGCCAGCAGACTGAAAAATGTGTAGTTTTGTTACTTTCTTAAGCAGAAGATTTTAATGTTACCTATGTAGGTTGGGTGTCAGTGAATGAGAACCCAGGTGAATGAGTGTCTGTGTCAATTCGTCCCTTTATGCAACATCTTACCAAGATTGGCATCCATTCCTGGAGAGAAAGGTTCAAGTTCATGGCTGAGAATGCAGGGAAGCATCTGGGAAATATGGTGGAGGTCGAGGGATCATTTCTACCAAATGATGCAAATCTAGTGTAGTTTGAAAAATTCTACCATATTTGTCTAAAGATGGAAACGACGTCACATATGGGGATGGCTCATAGCTATCTCTGTTTTGTGATGAGGGAAAGAATTCCTTACATTTAAAGTAAAAGGCTGAATAGGCTAATGAACAGTAGATGCAATGCTTTTCATGTTCCAATCTATGAGATGACTGCATTTGTACCTTATTTTTTAACCAGAACTACACACTCAAATTTTACTCTGGAAAAATTGAGACCCTTGTGCTTATGACCAATTGCACTGCATTTTCTGCTGCTTGGCAGTAGGCTCACATTTCCATGAATATCTGTGGCTTCCTAACAGATGAGTTTAAATCCTCAGCACAGACTGATGTCTTAATAACTTTTTTCTCTATCCACAGATTCAACACTTAGTTTTTAACCTGTGACAGCATCTGTACTGGAAGGCAACTGACAACTCTGTGAATGGCATTGAATGTGCATGTGAGTAAGAATGTGTTTTTCTACTGGTATTACAAGCTCATTGAGAGCAGATAGTAAGTCTTAAATCCAAGTAGGAGGGATTAAGGCATCTATATTTCAGGCAGGATTTTATTCACACTAAGGTAAATTTAATGGTTGTAAACTTATAATGTCTTATTTATTATATAATATGCATACAATGCTACAATCTAAACATATTTGCCTATGGGTTTCAGTATCTTTGTGTATGTGTATCTGCACTGTGGCTTTGTACTTATAGAAGAAATGGAAGATATTTTCTCCCTCATTGATTTCCTTGTTCTTTTTATAGAAATATTGACCTCCTTGCCTGTGCTGCTAACTGTAGTGCTGTTAGAATTGTGCTGAATGCAGGGCAAAGCTATCTGTGAGAAATAGGGCACTGCGGCTGAAGGCAGTGAGGGAGTTAAATATTTCACCAGGTGAATTCAATCAAAAGGGAGGCAAAAATTTTGATATCAAGTCTGTAAGCTCTGGAAGAATAATGAAAGATATTTAGGAAGATTTGCAATTGCCAATCATTTAAGAAATTTTACACTTAATAAATTGAATAGTACTTTCTTCAATGTGGAAAAGTCTTCAAAGAATAAGCTAAAATACTTTATTGATCTGGACCAAAGTCATAGTACTTTCATGTCAACAATTCAGAATTTTTTATATTTTATGGATGCATGTTATTATTAGATATTATTATTAACTGAATTCATTGTAATCTTAAGTCAAGAGTGTATTAAGGGAAATAATAGAATGAAAATAGAAGTCTCTGGAAATTTTTGAAGAACTGAACATGTGATACCTCATCTAAAGCTTCTTGAACATGTGAATATAGTAACAATATTCATAAAGGAGACCTTCAAGAATAATATTGGGAGTTTTCAGAGAAGTGTGAGCATCCTCATAGCTAAGGAAAGTTCATCTAGAACAAAGGAAAATACACCAATCAGAAAGATTTCTGATGAGTCCTACTTGATATTTGTCCTGAGCCTCACTCTGCAAATTTGATTCCATCCCAGTACAGATTGACCACATCCACAGATGGTGACAGTCATGCAATTCAGCCAGTGATTTGGGATTGTGGTATATCCTTTCATGGTCCTTGACTTTTTTATGAATAATAGAAACAACAATTATAATAAATGTCTTTGAGATAGGAAAAACATTCTTTGGATTGTTCCACATTCACATCAGTATAAAATTGGTCAAATAGATGAGGGATGTGAAGTATATGAATGAAAATGAAACAACCATAGTCACTCTCACTAATGGAAACCAAAACAGTGATAACAATAATTCACTTCTTTTATGTAAGAATGTTAATCAAAATGATCAGGGCAGATATTTTTACATAAAATTTTGAAACTGAATGTTTCATCACAACCTTCATAAAAGTTATAACTACCATTCTATTGACAAATTTCAAAGGTTTTCAATACCAAATATGTAAAATTTCTCATAATGTAATTATCCTTCATAATAATGAGTTTATGAGTTCAGAGTGTGTTTGTAAAGAGAAGGAATAGTGTTGCCCTAAACAATTCAATTTCTCTGTATCCAGGCTTTCCTCTGCCTCTGGGCTATAATCTGAGTTTTCATGCAAAGAACTTTGTTGCTATTCTTTTATCTAAAGTGTAGTGTCTATGATCTTCTAGAAGTTAGTGACCATTGAAGATGTGACCATAAAATTCACCCCAGAGGAATGGGCCCTATTGGACACACCTCAGAGAGAGCTGTACAGAAATGTGATGGTGGAAAACATTAATCATCTCCTATCCCTTGGTGAGTCCACTGTTGTCTCTATCTATATTCAGTCATGCAAGTTTTCTAGCATTAGTTTTCTAGAATGTATGATGCATACCCAAACAACTCTCTGTCTGAATTTGTTCATAAAACTTACACCTTCATGAAAGAAAGTTTTCAATCACATTCATTTAAAAGATGTTTTTAATAACTTTGAATGTTGACTTGATCAATATTTCATGCCTTTTTTGCAAGAAAATCTGCAAAACCCAGAGTAATACTGTGTATGGAATGAATGATTTCAAAATTATAAATTCACTAAATTATTGGAAAAGTATTATTTTAAACTCAGCATGTTGAGTTTTGATGCAGACATGAAAATAAATGTAATTTGAGTGTTCTTGAAAGGTTTGTGTTTGATTCTATTTAAATGGTATTCATTTTACCATGGACATATGCATTTTATTATTTTTGAAATACTGATAATTCTGCATTTTATTTAAAAACAAGAATGAGTATAAGAATCCTGACAAAGAATCGTCTTTTGGCACACATTCTAGTTTTGCATTTAATATTCAAAAATTCACTCAGTGATGTTTTCTGAATATATTTCCTAGGTCTAACCTATACTTCCTTATTTCTTCTGAATTGCATCCCATGTACATGATCAAAATATTTTTTATTGCCACAATAATAAAAACGTGCTTGCTTCCTTTTCCTTGAACAGGATACCAGCTCTGCAAATCAGATCTAAATTTTCTTTCAGTGGACAAAGAAATGCTGTGGATGGTGGAAGGAAGAGTTATTCCTCAACTTCAGAGTCCAGGTAGGGACCCCTGAGTGGTGCTTCAGTACAGATCAGAGTGTGGTCAGTATGCAAAGTGAAGGCTTTTAAAGTGAGTGATGCTCTGTACAATGTGGGAGAGGACATGGGTGAATTTTTCAAGATTTCTCAGGATTTCTTTTACATGACCATCTTCAGCAAGTGTATTTATCTTTGCTTTTGCTGGGGTTGGATAGAAGATTTATGTATACACTGGAGTTACCATTTCATATAGGGGCTATTGTCCTCAGAGATTCCATTAAAGATTTTCTCTCTATACCTGAACAGGCTCTTGTCACCATTTTAATTTTCCATAATTTAATCTTCACAAACTTCTAATCCAATGCTCTATATTTGTACAATTTACCATTGGACCTCTGTTAATGTATGTACTCAGTTTAAGTGACAGCCTTTGTTATCCCTTGCTTCTTTGTAATTGATTTGTATTACTCTTAGAGAAAGATGTGTTCCATTTAACCCCATTTCTACATGGATATATCACACATTGGTCCTTCTTATGCACCTCATTTCCTGAACATTTCCTCTCTCCTTCCCCTCATCCTCCTCTTCTCCAATATTCTCCCAAATTCCTTTCATGGCATCTCAATTGCTGTAGGTGGTGGGTTGAGAAAAATTTGCCCAAATTCACAATCCAGATGAGATCCACAGACTCATGTTTCAATACAGATTGGAGCCTGGCTATGGCATATGTGAGATGTGGGATTGGTGAAGGGAATGATGTTTCCTAAAATGTAGTCAAGGACACTGTGAAAAATGTCACAAGTGTTATCATTTAATTCTGTGGACTATCACAGGTCATGTGTTTTCCTATCATTGTTTCAGATTTGGGAGAGAACCATATGTATGTATTGAAATTAATTTTGTGTATATCTGTTTTCTTCATAGGAGTACTAAATGTTTTCCCTGAGTATCAGCACAGACTTTTGTTTTCATTTTAATTTGTGTGATTAATTTTTACCAAATTCTACAATATCAAATGCCTATGACCTATAATTGGACAAATGCCAGCAACCTATAATTTGTCTAATGCCTAGAACATATAATTTGACACTTGCCAATTTTACTCAATTTGAGTGACAATTTTTGTGTTTTCTGTTAGTTGTATGGTAATTTGAGGGAGTAATACATTTCATTTTATAAAACCTGCACATGCGTACAACACATTTTAGTTCTTTTCCCTTTCCCCTTAGATATTTGCCTCTTCCTCTCTCCTTCCTCTCATCCTCTACTTCTCTAATGTTTTTCCTTTTATTAACATGCCAATCCAATCTCAGGTTTTCTTCCACATTCTGTTTATGAGACAAAACATGATATTTTACCTTACTAATCTGACTCATTTTATGCAACATGACATCAAGTTTAATCATAGCCTATTTTGTTTTGTTTAGTTTGTGTGTCTAAAATATACTTTATTGTGCAGAAATACACATTCTCTGCCTTCATCCTTTTCCTATGTGCACTTAGGAAGTTTTCATAGCTAGGAAGACATGTATTTTGCTGGAATAAAGATATTTAAAGAGTAGGAATACTTTAGGAATTCTTAGGAAATGTATCAACTTTTTTGGAACTAGGATAAAATGGTAGGTCAAAATTTACTCTTTTGAGGAAACTTCACAGTGATTTTAATAATGAATTTAATCATTTACAAGAGAAATTTATATCTAGTTTTACCTCAAATCCTCAAGATAATTTATTATTACTTGTATATGATCCTAATTCTAATTGGTGAGATGAAATCTCAAGGTAGTTTAGATTTGTAATACACAGATAAGTAATGATGTGGAAATTATTTTCATTTAATTTCTTCTCTTCATTTCTTCTTTGGAGAAATGATTTTGTACATCATTTTCTTTTCTATGAATGCATGTGTATTTTATTTTAATTTTCCATATGTATTCATATGTATACAGATATATGATCATACTGCTCTGTACTAAGGATTTCTCTCAAAGAGTTTTTTCTGTTATATAGTTCATGTCTTCATTTGGAATTGATTTTATTGCAGTGCAATAGCTTTCTGTTTGATATTATCCCATTTGTTGATTATTTCTCCTGTTTATTTTCTAATGGAGTCCTGTGCAGAAAACTTTTACATTTGCTGGCAGAGTGAAACATTTCCTTCTCCTATCTTCTTGTTCAAATAAATTTGGCAATATTCCTGGAAATTTAATATGCTTTCAGTGGACATTTTTTACATTGTGAAAGTATGGAATCCACTGCTAACTATCTATTTATGAATGTCCAGTTTTCTGAAAATATTTATCAGACTAGTTTTTATTCAATACATATGCTTGTCTTCTTTTCAGGAAAATGATAGTTGTTAGTATGTAATTTTCTTTCAGTGTCCTCCAGTCTATTGCTTCTCTCTCTGTTTATGCCAATATTGTGTCAATTTTTGTACTTTTATTTTACTATATGGATATTTAATATTGCACTGATTTTTAGCCTTCCTCAACTTTCTGATGACTGTTTTCCTTAGGCTTTCATCTGGGTGTGTGTGTGCATGTGTATCTTTTGCTGTTGAATTGTAGGATTGGTTTTCTCATCTTTCAAAGAACTGTATTTAATATCATCATTGGAATTCACTGAATATACAGATCTCTTTCATAATAAGATCATGAAAACAGTATCAATTCTGTAACCTCCTGAACATGAGAGATGGCATTAGCCACTGTTCCTCTTCCAAAATATTTAAGGCCAACACTTTAGAGAAATAAAAGTTTTACTGTAATACACAATTTCTGAAGTTGCAGTTTATTATTGGCCAACTCCAATGCAGAAAAGCATAAGAGAATGGCCTGATAAGCTACACGGGTAGTGGAAGGTGGGGTTCAAAAGAGAAAAAGAGGTGAGAAGAGAGGGTCAGGTGGAGACAAGAGCTTTCCCAGTCATGTCCACATGGCCTTCACATTCCAACCAGGTCCTGTCCCCAAACTCCTATTCAACAAAGAACGTGTCAATGACCTAATCTAATAATGTCTACTTTGATGCTGTTATCACTTCTCTTTTCCATATTCAACTCTCTTTCCATATGTGAATAGTAGGTGACATTTCAATCTGAGCTATATTAGAGTTCTTTCTATCTTATAATAATTTTTTAATCCCTATATCATGTTGCATAATTCTAAATGTAGAAATAACTTAATATTTGTTTGAACTTATATTTTGATAGTTTTTGGAAAATACTGTGTCAGAGAGAAAATCCCTGGGTTCACGACAGAACCAGATAAAAGTCTTTGAAAGTATTTCAGCAAAGCTTGACTTCTTCAGAGTGGGGAATAGCTAGGATAGACACTGCCTGGCAGCACACCAGGCAGTAAGTCCATGTGGCTTTTATTTCTTGACTCACTGTTGTCACTGTGACATGCTCTATTAATGGAAACATGGCCTCACATGTTAACCTGATTCCATAGTTGTTAAGCAGTTGTAGCGCTAAGCAGAACAGATGCTGTGACCCAGAAGAATCTTTGTTACAAATTTTACTTTAGGTGGACTAGCATATGGCCATATTGTCCCAAGTTATTCTTGCAAGGATTGGGAAAATAACCATGTGCACATTTACAAAAAGAGAATTTTGGCATCATGAATTCTTTTTTGTTGTGGTTGTTACCAAGGATTGAATTCAGGTCCTTGTGATTGCAATGCAGGAGGCAGAACCACTGAGCTAAATAACTGGCAAGCATAACAAATTCTTATAAATGGAGTTATTCAAAATATCCCCCTTGATAAAAAGTTTACTTTTTATGCAAAATTTGCTCTCCTTTGTGACACACTCTTTGTGACATACTTTTCTTCAATCTGAACAAATAATCATTGACTTTTGTCATCTCAGTCTGAGGTTTATAATACTAGTATTTGATTTTGTAGGCAAGTGGGATGGCTTAGTAAGGGCTGTCTCTAACAGGTTTTGAACATCCCCCTTACCCAGGGAATGATGCAGCATCCCAGTAGAGCCCTGCCCCAAACACAGTGATAACAGGACTCAGGATGGAGGTACCTTCCATGATCTAAAGGATTGATCCATTTCATTAAAGAAAGGGTCACCTATTCCTGGGTTTGCTACTAATTCATTAGCAAGTGATATTATACCCTCCAGTACCTTGATAACAAAACCATCTGGAGCTGTATTATTTTGAATGAAAGTACAGCATTGCCTGCTTGTCACTACACAGGCTCCTCCCTTTTTTCCAAAATCATGTCTAAAGCCAGACTATTTTCCCAGGCCATTTTGCTGCAGGGGCCTAACTGTTCTGCTATTCCTTTAATAGATTCTCTAATACAGTTTGCAGACCTCAGTTAGTTACAGTATTTCTCATTTGGCCCATTTTGTGGATGGTGGACCAACAAAGGGTATTGAAACCAGTCCTGTTGCTATTTATTTCTAGCCTGAAATTCTTTGGGCACTCCCTTAGGGACTGATCTAGGGTCAATGTCCATATGAGAATCAGATGACCCCCCCCTTGTGATAAGTTTTCTCCCTGGTGAAGAATAGATTTGGGGGTGGATTAGGGTTTCTAAGTGTAAGGCGGAAAGGGGTGGAAAATTGCACCAAAGCACAAGTCCCACTCCAGGTGGCCACTAAGTTCTTGAGTAATGAAGCCCTGAATACCACCAGAGCACTGTCTGAGCCACAGCCCATGCTGCCTGATTGCCCAGATCCTCAGTACATCTCCATGCACTACCCTGGAATTCTCACTGCCCCCACCTTATACATGAGGTGTACTTAGTTACCCATGACTTAGGTCTTATGTTTATTGTAGTCTTATGTATATGATCTCTCATCATTTTCAGCAGAAGTGACAAAATCTGGCAGGACTCATTGCCCCTGGCCACCTGGTCTTGAAAGATGGCTGTCATAGATTCCACCATGACTGAGGTCCCTCCTATGGGAAATCAGACTACCTGAGCCTCTAGCTGACCTGCTCTGCTTGCATAGCAATCCTTTTTATACTTGAGGTTGTGAAGATCATAGTTAATCCATT